GCTGACTAGGATGCCAAATCATCGCACACGTCAGCAACCAGTCAACATATTATTGCCACGTAATTTTGAATTATTAAAATAATTAATTTTAAAAATAAAAAACAATTTTTTTCACTAGCTAAAAAAATTAATTAAAAAAATAAAAAAAAAATTGAATTTCTTCCTTACTCACAACCTGTCGTCCATACCTCCCCAACCTCCCCTCTATCTGTTCGCCACCCAAATTCCAAATCCCATTCCCATCTTCCTTCCCAAATTCCAAATCCCACTGGTCTTCTCCCCTGTTACAAAATCATCGCATCTCTTCCAAATTTCTAGATCGCAAATCCCACCGCTTCAATATCTTCATCTTCCTTTTCCATCTCACGACTAGAGGAGCTGGAGCCGACAGATCTGGATCGACGTTGTTATGTTTAGATCCTCCGCTGCCATCACTGAAACGAACCGACAAAAACCCGAAACAAAAGCTAAGCTGGAATCCAATCTAAGAACACAAACTTTACAGATATCAGAGAAGCAATCCATCGCTAGACAGAAACAGAGAAGAAACTCAGAAAGCAAAATCAAGTGAAGGAGTGAACACAGAAAACCCACCTGGGTATCCGCCAAAAAAAACTTGAAACTAGCAGGGAGCAAAGAGTGCTAGCTGAAAGACAGAGTCTCTGCGAGAAGCGAAGAGCTTTATAATGGCCATCACCCCGTTGGCGGCGGTGGTGGTTTGAGAGATCTATTAGATTTTCGTTTCCTCCGCTTCTTCTTCCCGCAAGCACCATTGATGAACTGGAAGCTCGCGTTCAGGGGGCTTCTTGGAGTAGCGGCGAGGAGACGACTCAAAACCACACCTGCGACCTTCCCCTTCCCCTTCCTCCCACCTCTGCTCCTCATGGCGAATCCCTCCACAAATTACCTCAAAAGACCCCAAATCCCTCCACAAATTCAAGCCCTCTTCCCCTTCAACTTCGAGATCCAAGCACCATCGCTCCAAGAAGCACAAGATCCCCGAACCCGAGCAGATCCCGATTTCTCCACCCAAGATCGACAGCACTGCCAGTCCCTACAAGGTGAGCCGCTTCATTCCGAGATCCACATCTCTGCCGAACCCGGAAAATGGTACCACGCTATTTGATCGAAGAGAAGCCGAAACAGGACAGCGACAACGGCCTGGGCTCGTCGATTGTGAGATCCGTGAAATCCCTGTCCCGGTCGATCGAAGAGAGAAGTTGGAGCGGGATCTTGATCCACGGTTGGTGCGTGGCGCTGTTCGCCTGGCTGCTGTTGATGGAACGGTTTGGGATTCTCAGGTGGAGAAATTTAGCGGCCGTTTTGTTTAGGGTGTTGGATTGAAATTTTGTTTAAAAAAAATGGCTATGTGGAAGGAAGGAAGAAGACGAAGATGGGTAGAGTGAGCAGTGCACGAAGATTGGAAGAAATTGAGATGGGTTTCATTAAATTTTTTTATTTAATTTTTTTTTTCATTCATATATCCACGTGGAATAGTTATTGATGAAATGTCTCCACGTCAGCTTTTCCGTTAGTCTAGTCAGCATGTTAGATGACACCGTTAAAAGGATGGACGGAAATGGCTATTTTGTGTTTTCGAATAATTATGGCTATATTTGTCACAAACGTGAAAGTTATGGCTATACAAGTGTATTTTGCCTATTTTTTATTAATCTGACTTTATTTTCAAAATAACAAGACATCAACCCTTACATAGAATTCTGAAACATAAATAATAATAAAAAAAACAACAATGCCAGCTTTGAGTCTCTGACTGGTGTAGTGATGACAATGGAGCGGGGCGTAGCAGGTACCTCAATACCCATGTCCCGCTCCACGCTACTGCAGGTCGACCCATTCTTATATGTTATCTGAAAAGAATTGGGATAGAATGGGTCAAGAATGAGACGGGATCGGGAATATATATTCATGCTTTGCCTCAAACTACTGCGGGTCGGATAATACTCGCCACATACATGAGTCAAGTCAGATAATACCCGCGAGCGGCGGGACGGGTTCAAATTGCCATCTATACGTGGTGCCGTCCTATCCACATGTGCTTTGCCCAAATCAGATTTTTATCAATCATGTTGTTAATCATAGTTCAAAAAGTCAAAGTACAACGCATTAATTTCGAGGGGAAAAAAAAAGTTTTCTCGCCGGAAATCAAACCCACAGTAATGTTTATAGTCAAAAGTAGTAGACTCCGATCATGAGATGCTCTTCCTCATCATCGTCGTCGGAGGGATCGTAGGTGAAAATGTCACCTTCTTCCGGCAGCCTAAAGCTCACCCTTCTCTTCCTGCTGCTGCTGCTGCTGTTTGTCGTCCAACTACCCTCATCAATATTGTTGTTACTGACGATGTGATTATTAGTATAGTTATGCTCAACGCCCGCAGTACTCTCGGCTTCTTCCATCTCCAGCAGCATCTCCAAAGAGAAACTCCCTGCTGTATTACCATCAATTTGGGAATCAGGAAACACTCTGTTTTTGGCGGCGGCGATCAACGGCGGCGGTAATTGCCTCGACGTCGGAGACCGCACCAAAAACTCCTCCAGACTGATATCGTCACGACGGCCGCCGGCGTGACCCTGCTTCTTCTTCAGCTTCCTGACGCGATCCGGCCGCCTCCCGCGACCATCCCGATCGCCACTGCCCGCCGCCGCCTTCCGCTTTCTGCTGCTGTTGTCGGTGGCGGCGGAAGCGAAAGAGTTGGGCTCTGTCACGGGACACAAGTAAGTTTTGGTAAAACGATAATTAAAAAATTATGTACCAGCATATGTGGGGATGGGATTAGGTGCTAACCCTTATAGGGGTTAGTACCGTGATAACTAGCAAAAAACGCTACTAAAACAACGAAATCACTACGGATTATTATAAAATCAATACAACATCTAAGCTAAATCACTACTAACCCTTGGTTAGGACGGTGCTAACTCTTGTACAATTAGCACCGTAACTCCTCCCGCATATGTGGCAGGGACGCAACTCACGAATTTAAGGTGACTTAAATGTAATTTTTTGGGGCAATGTATCAAACTTCATTTATTACATTGTAAGTGATATCCCCAAACGAAATTATTTACATCATGGAAAAAAAAGGAACACACCTAATTTCAACTTCTCGCTCTGCCAATGGATGTTGTTTCCTCCTCCTCCTCCTAGGCACCTCAGCTTGATCCAATCAGCGAAACGGTAAGACGACGGCGGCGCACTACTGGGAGCGGGAGGAGGAGGAGGAGGAGAAGAGGAGTAGCACTCGTCGTTGTCGGGCCGGAGGTAGCAGTCTCGCCGCCGCGGCCGCCGGAAACAAGCTCCTAGACCCATTGAGTACACAATATAATTTTGTTCCCGGCAGGCGATGAGGACACCATTTTATATAAATGTGATTGCTAGTGAAAGTTAGGGTAGCGGAAGTTGCAAGAATGGCGAGGAGGATTGATGATTAAGTTAAAAAAGTGTATTTGTCTTTGTACGTTAATTATGTTACTGCTGTGCCGTAGGTATTACCGAACAATATTTTGGATTCAATTCTATACTACAATTAACGTTCTTGTCATTTTCTCGGAAGGGAAAAATAAAAACTAAAGAAGAAAAGAACTGAGTCATTTAGAAAGAAAAAAAAAATTAGAAAATCACTTAAGCATATCCAAAAACTAAAGTCCAAATCAAGAAATGCTGCATATTTACAATTTGTTCCCTTGATATATATTTTGCCAAGTACCGCCAATACTTTGGGGTTTTTTGTTTTGTTTTTATATGTATAGAAGAACCTAATATATGCCGCCAAATTGTACTCACTAGATAATTTTTCACAATTAGTCAACTTTCCTTAAAAAAAAATATTTTTTGTTTAACATGAGAAAATATATTATTTCCAAAGGATATGGCCAAAAGCCCAAACTCATGATCAATAATTAAAAAAAAATGGAATGATGAATGTGCCAAACCCAACAATAGTCTCTAGCGTTTGTGCTTGAAGTTTGCCAGGTCTTAATACTATATACTTAATAAACAGGTTCGTCAATTTTCAAACACAAGACCTTACAACAATAAAGACTATAATATCATGTTAAAAATCAGTTGGTCCCAAACCAATGTAGTTAGAATCGCGGATTAAAGATTAAAAGCTTACATTTTACGTCTCTAAATCACCAAAATGCTTCTACGTGAAATGACACATTAAACATAGTCATATATTACTTATTTTTACGCTTCTATCTAGCCAAAACACTTCTAATTAGAATTGCAGTTGTTGAGTGCATTGGTCCCAACAACTCCGGCTGTTGAAAGAGATTGAATTATAAATCTTACACCATTTACTAACACTTAGAACGATCATCATTATTATTATTATTATTATTTATTAACATAAAAGAGCCATCAGTACAATGGCTGGTTTTATTATAGAACTACACACATATATATTCATGCTATATATTAAAATTGTCCAAAGATCCGATCCTTCTTTCACACTTTATTAAAGTTTAAAACCACCAGCTCCTCGCTTAGCTGCGTAAGCCCTGAAGTTTGCCATCATGATTAATTCCAAACCTTGTCGAATCTTGTGCGCTGGGAAAGCGAGGAGCAGCGCCGCCGCGGAACTGGAGCCCGTTACCCCGGCCGCGGCGGTGTCCCTTTCGGCGGCCACCGCCGGAATGGCGGGCAAACGTTGAATTGGGCAACAAGGCAATGTTGATCAGCAGGAACAGAACAACCACCAAGTTGGCCATCGACAACAATTTACCCATCTTTTTTGCCATCACTGTAATTCGGAAACAGAGCTTATTGGGTGCGGTTGGCTGATCTGTGATAAACAGAATATGGCATCCATATATATATATATATGGAAGGGAATGAAGCTAATTGTTCCAAAAGAACAAACTCCATCGCCGTGGCTATGCGCGGCGGCTAGTACAGGGTTGTTGGAATGGGAAGAGATGGTTTCTGCTGACGAAATTATATCGGCTCTTAATTGGGGGATTAAGCTTTCGTTTAGTGCAAGATTCGGCGGTGGACATCTTATGAACTGTTTAAAAAGAGGCGAATAACAAGAAATAAGATCTCAACCAAACAAAAGGTTAGCAGTAACACCTCTGTCAAAAGGTTCGTCTGTGACAATTCAATAAATTTACACAACCACAAACTCATGTAAAAAAACAAGGAAATCCGATCAGGCAAGAAGCCCAGCTCTACGGATCAGCAGATGGGTTAGTCAACAGCTCAAGGGCCTTTTTCAGGTGCTCGACGGCGATCGACACCTCGTCAAATGCCAGGGCTCCAACTGCAAATCGCGCCGCTTTATGTGCCTCGACGATTTTCTCAGGTGGAGGCTGGTAGCTGCTGTCGTACTGGTACGTTGCTGTTGCTGCTGCTGCTGCTGCGGCGGAAGTTGGGATGGATGCATCCACGGCGGAGCTCATCCTGCTGCTTGAACTGCCATGCTGCTGCTGCTGCTGCTGCTGCAGGGCTGGTGGAGGATGATAACTTGTAGCAGGTGGTGGAGCCGACTGAGAGCTGTACGCGGAGGAATCGGATGATCCTTGTTGTTGGTAGTAAGAAGGGTAGTGGGATGGCACAGACGGGAGCACGGATGGGATGCTGGTGTCTGCGAAGCTTGGATACGACTGGAAGTTTGGGTAAGAGTAGGATGAGGGATTATCATGAGATGATGGGTAGTTCTGTGGCACATGGTGGTGAGGCTGAGAATAGGTGGGGTTCTCCGATGGATTAAAATCTTGGGAGTAGCCACCAGCAGCAGCAGTATAAGGTGGAGGAGAAGGCATGATGTTTCCGCCGGAATGCTGGCTGTTGAACGAGTCGTATGACTGGGGAGGATGAGATTGAGCCCGCGCTGAATGCTGCTCCCTGTCCATTGAATCATATGACTGAGGTGGTGATTGTGGCATGAACTGAGAAGGATGTTGGTGGTGGTTAGGATGATCGTGGAACTGAGACGATTGTGGAAAGTCTGCCGAATGGCCGCTGCCACCTTGATCATGGAATTGGGACGATGGATCGGACTCTGATGATTGCATTGTGGTAGTTGAAGTTTCCACTTGTCCGACATCCTGAAAAATCACCATTGGGGCACAACAAAATAAGATATTCTGTGCTCATTTCGTTTCCACGATTACTGAGTGGAGACCAGACCTACACTATAACCAATTTTTCCTTCTTCATTCCGAACCTTGAAATCAGAGTGGAGAAAGAATTTAGATTTAGCTGTAACTTACATTCCCATTGGTAAACCCACTAGATGGATCCGCCATATCTTCATCGTCAACAGGAGGGCCTGGATTGGGTGTCCTTCCCTCTTTCAATGCCTTCCTTATGTCTGCAGCCTTCCAAACTGCATACTTCTGCTTCTGTTCAAGCTGCAAAGTGAGAATGAAGGATAAGGACCTAGCAGAGATGCTCTTCAATGATAAATAAATTCAAAGACATGTCTGTCATAAGGATTAAGCAATTTCGAATTGCAGAAACTCACTTCAGCCTGGAGAGGCCCAAACTGATTAATAATCTCAAAGAAAATGCTTGCTGCATAAAATGTCTTCGCTGTGTTCCTGTAGCAAGACAAGAACTTCAGATATCGACAACCATTTAACTACCGGTTTACATGCATATAGAGTTTAGTTCAATTGGATCTCAAAATATTGCAATCAATCATTTCGCTGAGTACATTTTGATCTTAAGCAACACAGTAAAGCAAAACCAAATAGCAGCAAAAACAAATCAAAACCAAAACCAAACACAACATGCATTAGCACAGTGCTACCCAATGTTTAAGGAGAGAGAGTGAGAGAGAGAAGGCTAGCCATCAACACAACTAATCCTAAAACTATAAAAAAACGATAGAACCAAAAGGCAAAGACTTTCAGATAAGTTGTTACACTCTTAAAGCAATTGAGATTTTGAAATTCTACTTCTTAAGCATGCAACTTCAAGAAAGCTGCCAATGTTTTGCATTCGGCAACCCCAAAGAAAATGAGCGGCAGTTACACATGATTGTTGCATGCTGTGCTAGACGGTCTCAAGTCCATAAGCAATACGAGAATTCATCTGGATACATATAAGTTAGACAACTACGACTGCCAGAGTTGTGAAGGCCTCTTCTCACCCTTCATATTCTAACTTGTGAGGAGCCAAGTAAGTGCATCACAATCATTCTATTAGACCAGAATACAGTTAAACATCAACCAAAAAGACCATCCATGTGCCTCATAAAAAAAGTAATAGTCAATAGAAAGCAAAACCATTGCCATACAAGTCAGCTCGTCCGGCACGATCTTGTTTATCAGCCTTTGAAAAGACATTCTGGGCGAACCCCTCCAAATAATAGTTATCCTCAGGTCCTAACTTCACCGTCTTCTTATCCTGTCAAATACCATACACGATGAGTGTTACAATTAACCTTTTATCAAGCATATCACAGCATCAACAGCAGAAAAGGATCACCATTTTCAACAACTGTATAATAGCAGAAGGGAATAACACGGTCTGGGTACGTGATGCACAGCAATTCAAAAGGGATCTATAACGAATTGCGGGGATGATACATGCAGCCTAGAAGAACACAAGCCTAAGCCGATGCTTCAAAGCGGATCCTCACAAATTCAACTTCACACATCAATACTAGGAAACTGAAGCACTACATAGAAAACTCCAACTCCAACCCAGAGAAAAGGAAAAAACATAGAATCGATCATCAAGGATTAGTTTATAAACAAAATCAGCTAGGCAAGCAAACCTTCTCGAGCTGGCTCATGAGGGAAACAAGCAGAGAATTGGTGGTCTTAGTGCGATCCTTCTGAGGAATCCTCAGTCCCCTCTCCATCGCATATAATCGGCCTGATCAGAAAAAAAACGGAGTCGATTAACAGGAGAGAAACTTACAAACTTTAGGGTTCAAGGAGAGTAGGAGTAGGTTCGCCTTACAGTAGTAAGCGACGAGGGGTTCGTGCTTTTGCAGCTCATCGGCTCGTTGCAGGTATGGCAGCAGAAGCTTGGCTGGCTCGTTATCGCTCGCCGCCATCGCCTGAATTTGCTTTGATCAATTCGCTACTGCGCTACTTCAAAAATTGGGGGAAATCAGAGATGCTAGGGAAACGAAACTGGCGTGTGGCGTGGCGTCTATAGTTTTGGTTTGATTAATATCAATCATTAATATCATAAATGGCAAAAGAGAATGAATGATGCTAAAGTTTGGGATAAAGTAAAAGATTAGGGTTAATACCTTGTTATGGGCTGAACTATGACCATGTAATCAATTTTGGCCAATGATTTGAGAAATTAATATCATGGCCCGAACTATGCAGCATATAGCCAAAATTGGCCTGGAGCGTGGTTTGACCGTTTGTTTGGACGGTCAACACCTTTGACCGTTAGTCAACTGTTCAAGTCACTGCCATGTCAACATAAAAAAATTATAATTTCTTTTTTCTTTTTATTTCATTTACAAAATTGAATAATTAAAAAAAAAAGCAAAAGCAAAAACTTTTGGCCCACCCATCCCCACCTTGTCCCCTCACCTTCTTTCCTTTTCGATCAAATCCAAACAAACCCTATCTTCCTTCTTCTTCCTCCTTCTTCCCCAACCTTGAACCATCGATTCTCCATAATCTCCGGAATCGAAATTCGCCTCTTCGTGTCCACCACCAGAAGCCTGGAAATTATGGAAATCCAACAGACTCAATGGTTGCCTGACTTGGTAAGTAGGCTGATTTTGTTCATTCAATCATTTACTCCTACTGCTTCGTTTCCCACTCCTGTGTTGTAATCAAAGATTTTTCTGTATTTGTGTCGCAAAGTAGGGAATGGAAGACCCATCTTTCAATTACTACCCAGGTTTCGACTGCTACTCGTTAGACGGCTTCGATTTCGACCACGACACCATTCCTCTGGCCATCCCTCAAAGCTACCAAATCTCGGTTCACGACCAGACCAGGCCTGCCAAACTTCCCAAACACCAACTTACCATTACCAACCAATGCTCCAAAGCTTCTTCCCCCTATTCTTGCGTCATCTCTTTCGAAAGCTCCACCGATTCCCTCCAAAACCCTACGAGATCGGCTGCTGCTGCTGTCAAGCCTGAGTACACATCATCTCCGATTCCGGAGCATGGCACCAAAAGAAGCGCCGCTGCTGCCATGACGAGAATCGGTGGTGGACACGAAGAGGCGAATTTCGATTCCGGAGATTATGGAGAATGGATGGTTCAAGGTTGGGGAAGAAGGAGGAAGAAGAAGGAAGATAGGGTTTGTTTGGGTTTGATCGAAAAGGAAAGAAGGTGAGGGGATAAGGTGGGGATGGGTGGGCCAAAAGTTTTTGTTTTTGTTTTTTTTTTTAATTATTCAATTTTGTAAATGAAATAAAAATGTGAAATTATAATTTTTTAATGCTGACATGGCAGTGACCTGGACAGTTGACTAACGGTCAAAGGTGTTGACCGTCCAAACAAACGGTCAAACCACGTTCCAGGCCAATTTTGTCTATATGCTGCATAGTTCGGGCCAGGATGTTAATTTCTCAAACCACTGGCCAAAGTTGATTACATGGTCATAGTTCAGGCCATAACAAGGTATTAACCCAAAGATTTAAGGGTGTACATATTGGAGGGTCGTTTGGATGGGTGATTGATAATGATGTAGTATTTAGTCATAAATCACTTATTAACAAATTTCAAATGTGGTATTTGTGAAAATTGATGTAAAAACGGATGAGCTAAGCTCCGTTGAATTTTCATATGAGATTAAAAAATGGCCTTAATAGTTGCTCGGGAATCCGTGTCGGTCTCATCTAAAATTTGTTTAGCTATCCAGAAAATCTAGTATACTTCCCTTAAATCCTTTATTTCTCTCCTTACCTCTTTTATGATATGAACCATTGGATCTTCCTTTCTCAAATTACAACCATTGGATTGAATTTTGTAAGCCTACAAAACTCAAAAGTTTTATACTTTAACCTGCGCCTTGTTACAATACTATAATTACTTACTTTCACTTTATTAACACCCGTAATTTTTTCTTTTCAAACAACAACTTACACATCAACTTACACCCCTCCCCTAGACCCCTACTATCTAATTTGCACCCTTCTATTTGTGTAGGAGAAGGATTGGGAAAAGCTCGATAATAGGTATGAGAATACCAAACTTCCATCCAATGAAATGCTGATTTGGCCAAAATAGTGAGTCAAGGTTAACCCGCTTGAATTTTGTTGAGCTAGATTAACGGTGAAAAGCCAATAGAGAAAGTGTTTGCGGGAAAAAGAGTGAGAAGAAGGTCGATTTAGTCACTTATCAAACTGATAAAAGCGAGAAGTTTTCAATAATTTTGACCGAGGATGAGCAATTACGGTCAGACCTGATTCAACTAACAAGTTAGATCCTTTGTTTCGCAAGAATGTCAATTAACCGGTGTCTAAATTAACATACACGGATCAACTACCTAATTTACCCCTCAACTTACACCTTTGTCTAATTTGCACCCCTCCCCTATTTGTGTAGGGGGGAGGATTAAGAGAAGCTCGGGAACAAGGATGAGAATACCAAACTCCCACCTATATGAAGATTGTGACATGATTGTAGCCTGCTTATGAGATCAAAAGTTGGATCATGGTAGACCTAGGGGATTACAGCTTAGGTCAGCTGCAAGTTGGGTTAGAACATTAGTTGCTAGGAACGTAACAGTGTGGAGCGATGGGAAACATGCATAAGAAATCCTCGACACAGATTTGCAGCAGACTAGAGGATAAAACTTCCAAATGGCAATAATACACAGAACAGGGGGGGCACAGGGTACTATCTTAAACTCTCCAGTTTATCATGTCTCCTTCATATCTATACCACTACACCAACAAATTCCTACTAGTAATAACAACATAGATGTTGTGCAAATGGTGTAAAGCCTACATCTTACTCCTCGGCTCCCCTACGGTGAAGCAGGAACCGGTTCAGTACCAGAGACCTGGGAGGCAGCATCCTCCTTTGTTATCGCGACGAAATTAGTAGGAGCAGAAAGCCTCGCCTCCCTTCTGTCTCTACTTCCTGATCTGCTGCCATTCTGAGAAGTGTTCAAAGACAGCCTCCTGCTCGGAGTTCCATTGTTCGAGCCTCCTCCGTTTGCCCTTGGACCAACCACCTTCTTGGGTCCAGCCGGTCGTGCTGGACTTGGCCTCGAACCGAAGATGGTTTCTTGCTCTGTGTTTTGCTGCTCGTGGTACTTCTTCTGATCCTGTGTCACACAAACAGGTCATATATAGTGTCCTTAAGAAAGAGGAACAGAAATGTCATAGACATTCAGCGGGCTGAGATGAATAAGGAAAGAAGAGAACTCACTCTCATCCTCCGCTTCTCCTCTTCTCTTTCCTGCCTAAGCATGGCGTATTCATCAAGCATGGCTAGTAGAGGAACACCATCGTATGTAAATTGCAGGCCACGTTCCTCTTCCCATGCCCGAGTTTTGGCAACCAAGGTGTCAACCAGAGCTACATGAATGAGAAACAGAATTAAAACAAACAAATAATCTCTAGCAGTTTTAAGATAACTATGTAAAGGTCTACAAATTCCAAAGAGACCTGGAATTTTGTTGACTACAATTCTGGCTTTTTCTGCTCTCTTGAGATTCAAGTGTGCACCTCTGCTTGCATTGTACCTGTTATCATCCTGTGGCATTGAGAAAGAAACAGTTAATAATAAACTTACAAGTTGATGAATTTAGGAAACAAGATCAAGGATGCAAGGAAAAAGGGAACGAGTTCCATTTAGCCAATACCAGGAACAGTATAGTTAGTTCTTTATGGAGAGATGCACTAAGTACCCACCCGATTATAGTCTTCAAGCCAACTTTCTTCTTCACATGCAGACATCCATTTCTCCACCTTGTCCAGAATGTCCTTTCTGCTAAGAGCTTCATCTTTGGCTTTTGAAATTTGACTATCCATGTCAGCTAGTAACTCAGCCGGCTCCACATTCCCGGCATCTAACCGTGCCATGATTTTTTCTCGAGCAGCCTCAGGATCAATCTCTATATGAGCATGAACAAAGATCTCTTCAAGTTCTGATTGCTTTTTGAAGGCTATTTCTTTCATCCTGCTAGACTTTTGCTGATCAAGCCTTTCAACTTCAATTTCAGCCTTCAAAAGCATAAGGAAACCGAGTGAGTCCAAAAGAAGATAAGGACTGCAGGCCTAATGTTTTCCTTTAGGCTTTAACCCCCTTTTAAGATGAGCAAAAGTTCATACCTGTTCAATGAGATCTAGAGCAAGAGCACCAGGCATGTTCACTTCATCAACTGAAGCCGATATGTTGCATGTAACATGGTCAAACAATTTCCTTTCATCGTCCGGAGTATCCATCAGGTTCCACAGATCAATCAATTGAGTCGTTAACTCTTGAAGCTATGATAACAAAGGGCTTGAATTAGAGAGGTTTCAAGGATTTCAGGAACGTGAGCACCATTGAAGCATATTTGACCATGATACTCCCACTTATATTTCTTTAAGCATATAGAATCAGTTAACAAGTATAAGTCAAAAGATCAAGAACTAGAAAGCATTGAAAGGCATTCTTTACGCGCTGACCGAAACAGATTGAGAAGCAATTACTTCGACAACAAGCACACCATTGATTATCAAGGAAATATGCTCAGTAATATTCATCTGCAGGCAATAGACCAAGAAAAGAATATCAATCACAAGGGAAAGAGAGATGGAAAACTAGTTACCTTGCGGAGCCTCTGCTTCTTATCTTCCGTGAGCTCCAGGACTGTCTTAGCTAACCTTGCCAATGTACCATTGCTAATGCTTTTGGATTGAACAACAGTAGATTCGTTCAAGCTTGGATGAACATCAGTTACAGTGCTAAAGAAGTCCAACCCAAGGACAGCACAGAGATCATGTACACTGCTCACATACTCAAGGACCTTGTGCAGTCTCTCACTCTATCATTTAAAAGAAGCCATTAGAACTGAGTGTGAAATGCACTTACTTAGCTGGAAATAAGAACAATCCGATCTTGACATCAGGATGAAAAGCTGTACCTTCTCCTTCTGAAGTTCCTGTAGGCGAGCATTGTATTCATCCAACTTCTTCAAAGATAGATCAGATTCATCAACTACCGGAGTCTCCTTAGTGCTCAAGCTCCCAGATATATCTCCACAAATCTTTTGTATCTGTGACTGCACATCGGAGAATTCCCTCACTCTCTCTTCTTTCTGTTTCCACAACTGTTCAAGTGCTGGTGCTATGGCTTCAAGTTGCTCCTTGATTGTTCCAGAAGTCTTCTCCGGCTGATATTAGAATTATTATGCAAAAAAACAATTATGAGAACCCCAGTTTTCAGAGTAGCCGACAAAAGATGCCACGTTCTCTTAAAACATGCATAACACCAAAATCTAGGAACCGTGTAAAGTGTACTCACAATTCCAACAGAACTTTTATCCCCAAGGGAAGATAAGAGAGTTGAAAGCTCTATTTTGGCATCTGACAGAGCTTGTAGCAGCTGTGCCCTTGACTTTGCTGCCAGTTCAACTTTCTTCTTGTAAACATCCAAGCACTCTTGATCTATTTGGAGAAGCATCTTATCCCTCTCCTCATCAGTTTCGCCAACCTCATCCCAAATTTCCTGTAGCACATCAAAGTGCTGAGGGTTAAGCTATGTTATCACAGCATATGAAGTCAAATTAAATTACCAAACATAAGAGCTACACAAACCTGAAGCTTCTGCAGCAAAGTACCACAGGTCGTTTCTGCAACTAAAGGGTTCTGAGTGTCTGTGACTGCCATTCACTTCAAGTCCAATTACCTATAATGCATTGCCAGACATCTTCAGAAAACATCATACTAAAATCTCATTGGGATGAAGCAAGAACATAAACAGGAAATGAAAGATACAAACCAAGGAAGATAAGTTTAAGCCAAGAAAATCAAACCAAGGTTAAGGAGCACTCGCAGAAAATTAAATATGATAACATAATCTGATGATCCAGCTACAACCAAGCACGACAAACTACGCAACCTGCACTGATCTTTGGAAAACCTACAGCTACAAGCCTTGGGGTCGCAGACATTGACAAAATCGCATTACCATGTTATACTAGACAAATGCTGCTAATGCCGTCACTATCAGCATTCAGCATTAAGTTATTGCAATAAGCAAACCAACGAATGCATCACCATGATGCATAGCAGCATCTGAGAAATTTATGCCCCAAAGAAGAGTGCAATGGAATTGCAGAGATAGATTATCTTTATGCTAGATAAACAGTGGCAAGTGAAAGGAAATCAAGCAACCAACCAACCCGAAAATTCCAAAATTGGGTTGTCAAGTTGATTGCTCCTAATGAAGACACTTAGACTATAACAAAGGGAAGTACGAATACAACAAATTCACTTCATTAAATTATCTCAATCGGGTATAACATTAACAAACTCAAGACTTAAGTTCATCAGCGACTAACCCACAAGCCTTAAATCAATCAACTGCAACAAGAACTACAACACAAAATCATCTCATTCCCAGAATACCATAAAAGTGCGCAACTTTCGGACTAAACAACAGATCCCCTCCTACAAGCTAAACCAGATGGATCAAACTTTCCCCACAGTGGAAGGATCAAAGCAAGCAAGCAACCCAGAAACCGAAATGCACCCCCAAGTCGTTCTTCACCCCACAGCAGCAACAACTACCGCATTTTATCAAATCCATCTCAACCCAAATGCTCCAGAACCGAACCAGATCTCTCCAAGCTCCAAAACCCAAGAAAATGAACAAAAACTACCCACATTGGGTATCCCACGCAAGAAACGCAAAGAAGCAGCCATTGCGTACCCAGATCGTACTTGGTGGTAGGGCTATGCGGGGAAGGTTAGTTATGCTTCAGATCTAAAGCTTGCACTCCCCTTCTTCTTCTTCTTCTTCTTCTTCTTCTTCTTCTTCGGTCACACTCACACTCACTGACTCACAGTCTCTCTCTCGCTACAGTCTCAATGTTCGTGAAGCAGCAGCTAGAGCAGGGGGAAAAGGTGGGAGTAGAGGGTACAGCTGGTAATTAATAATGAGAAGAAGCGACCAAGCAAGCAGAGCAGCAAATGCTAAACAAAGAACGAAAAGGACAAATGCTGCTGTGAGAAAAAGGAGAGAGAAGAAATCTCGCTGACCGGAAAATTGCCCCGGGAATTCAGAGCTATTTACGAACATGACACTGTCAGTGTTTTTGTTTTCGGGAGGAACTCAAAAAGCATGCATCTCCTGCTAAACGCCGAGTTCGGTCTGGAACGACGCCGTCAGGAGCGGACGTTTCCCGGGCTATTAATCAAAATGAACAGACCGTTGATTCCGTGAAAAACTTCCATAAAGCCACGAAATTAAGGATGCAATTGATCAAATTCAATAATAAAGAATTCAATTAACAATAACATAAAAGTATGTGTATGAAATTGAGCTTTTTGCCCTTTTTAGTCAGTATTCTCCTACTCTTCTTCTTGCTGTCTATCACTGTCACAAGCCAACGAACGCCGACGGAGCTCGTTAATTAAACCGTGGCCGGAGCTCTCTATTTCGTTAGCTCCCACTAGGTTTCACTCGAACCCAGCGAGCGAGAGAAGAAACAGAAAGGGGGGTAAAAACATGGAAGGCGTGGGGTCTCGGCTCGGCCGCGCTTCGTCTCGGTACGGCCCGTCGGCGACGGCGAACGTGTTCAACGGTCCGGTGAGGAAGTGGAAGAAGAAGTGGGTCCACGTTTCTCCACCGCCGGCCGCTAATAACAACAGCTCTCGCTCCAACGGCCACCACAGCGCCGCGCTGAGCAACAACAGCAGCAACGAGAGCTCTCGCCTCTTGCTCTGTCGATGGACCCCTCTCGCTGTCGGTGTCGGAGGAGGCGCAGGCGACGACGAATCTTCCGCCGCGGAGGAGCCTCCCAGGCGGAAGTTCCGCTACACTCCGGTGAGTATGGCCGCTGTTTCTTCGACCTTTTTTCCCCCGTGTTCTTGCTGCTCCTGGTTATGCTTTTCCCGCTGTGTTGGTTCTGCTTCTCTTCGAGTTTTGGGGATTCTAGGGTTTCAATTCAGCTGCTGGCAGGTGGGGTTGCTTGAGATGTAAGCCAATTGTATGTGGAATTGTGGATTCTGATCCTTTTTGGTGGTACTGTAGATTGCAGCGCTGGAGGAGAGAAAGAAGGCGGCGAAAAGCGTTGATGTTGAGGTCAAAGAAAGTGAGGGGAATCAGATTAGTGAGTCCAATGCTTCTGAGAATGATGTGCCGGAGGATGATGATGAGACTATGAAGGAAAAGGCACAGGTATCAATCACTTCACTAAACCCTTTTTTGCTGGTGGGTTCTGGTTGGACTTGTTTTTCCACCTTGATTTCGACTGGCGGTTTTGGCTTCTCCCCCTTGTTTGTTTCTTGCTTTTGACATTTCCATAGTCATACTGGTTGCGAACTGTTTGCTTTTTTGTGACATGATCAACTCCATGGATGAGATGAGGGAAAAAAAGATCAGGAGAGGGGCAATGAGATGCCATTATCATTCGGTGAATAGGATTTGTGATAATTAAACAGCTTATACAAGTGGGCATGACCCAAAGCATGCTGCTTTGAGTCAGTTTGGAAACGTTTTTGTTATAGTGAACACTACATACATATCAGCTGCATGCTCTGCAAAATCCAAGAAATTGCATTGGTTTTGGACTAAACTGCTATATAGAATGCTAGGGTTGCATGTAGGCATGGCTAGTGGAAGAAAAGAGATTATTTGCGATCTAACCACAGTTTGGACCTAACTTTCACCTTGGGGTCAATATTATGGACTTTTCTCTATGCAACTGGTTTAATTAAAAACCAGAGGAAACATTTGGTTAAGTACGTACATTAGTTCCTGGGAATCTGATCATCTGTTAGGCTTGATCATTATCGCGTCAAGCTTTTGCTTTTCTCTGATATGGAGCCCTCAGTCTCCACTCCTGTCTAGAGGTTGAATTTTTCTGCTTTCCCGTCTTGCTACTTTTCAGGATCCGGATGATGGCGGTACCCTGGACCTGGGGCTATGCTCGAAAGGCCAAGACAACGAGGACAAAGAGTCCCCCAGCGAGCACAAGGAGGAAGCAATGGAGGAGGCGGCAAATTCAAGCAGGGCATGGGCTTTTGGTTAGACACCAGGAAGTTGTGGCTGCCTTTACAGAAGGTTGCGAGGGATCAATTCTGGCAGTAGCAGTAGTGGTAGTCTCGTCAGAACGAGAAGACTCGAGACTCGTCATTATATCGTATTGTATATGGCTTGTAGCTCTGTGTTAACAACCCGCCTAGGCAGAAACCAGTCGTAGCTTGTCATTGTCGATGTTGTTCGGTGTTAGTATGTATCTATCTGAAGTCTCGAGACTAAACATTTCAGTGATCCCTCTGTAAGTATCGCAGTAGTTATTTCATCTTAGTTTATCCCTCACTTGCATCACGGTAACAGCAGCATGACTTACATGATGGGCTAACCCTGTTGTTGCAGAGGGACCAAGGTAATTCTTATTGTATACAACTTAAGCCATACCCATACACCGTAATATGCTCGCAACCAACGAGTTACAAGTTGTTAGAACAGGGGAGAAAAAAATACTCTTCCAGTGTAAGTTCCTCATTTTCAAGACACAAATTTGTGCTTCTGCTAATGCTAAAAGACGGAAAGGAAACGAACAAAATGAATCTCTCTTCAACAATTTGGGGAAGGAAGCACGCAACAGAAACCCCTCAAATCTACAACATTTCCAGGCACAACGAGAAGAAGCATCTTCTCATCATAGCTTCCCAGCATCTTATAAACTATCCCAGATAAATAAAACAGACAAATGCCTGAATGATGTCGAACACCGGATGACAAGAACAGTTTCTCCCAAGAGTCTGCTTCTTTTATCATGACAATTGGATCATTTCGCTTAAGAGTCCGCCTCTGCTTCATTCTCTACTGATTGAGTAACACCGACTTCTGCTGGTCGAATCACCCGTTCATGGAGCATGTATCCTGCCTGAATTTCAGAAACACATAACTCTTCAGCAAAAGGTGTTCTATATTCATGACTCACAAATCAGAGACAATTTCACATGCATCAGCCATACTATCAAACTACATACGCATCAGGAAGAAGCAATCAAGAGCGATGACAGAACTCACAGAACTCGTGTTGCAGATTAAACAAACTGAGAATTCATCCTCACTGTAACATTCAGTACCTAAAGTCCCATCGAAAGCTCAACTGTTTTTCTGTCTAATACTAGCTAACTAGATACTTCTCAGCAATCGTAGCCATTGCATGACTCCGCCACCATCACTATTTATACAAATCTAAGTTCCTGATCAAAGGAGTAAACAGAAAATAGAAGCACGCAAGCTGTAGCCATATACATTACACCAACGAAGGCATTTACTGTATATAAGTAATGTTTTACGAGAGATACTGTTGCAGATGTCTACAATCAGTGTTAAGAAGGAACTCAAATCTGAGAACAAAATAGTAAAATGCAGACTGAAATTTACTACTGGTTATCAACTTAATAATAGCATAAAACTATTTTGAGTTTTTGTACGCAACTATTTAGAGTTATTTACCTTCAGAACATGTGCAACTGTGCCTGGAGGTTTAGAAGCATCGGGTACTTGAAACATAGCATTATGTCTATGTGGATCAAAAGGCTCATTTGTTGGATCAAATCTTTCCAGACCAAACTTCTTAAATACCTGTCATTCAAATAGAATAGTAAAATAAAATGGCTATAATGTAAGAGAATCCGAAAGGTCTATAATGCTCTAATGCAGTACAGATCATACCTCCCCAAGTTGTTTCTCTGTCATATCGACTCCTTCTGAAAGCGACTTCACAAGTGGCACCACTCCAGCACTGTCTTTAGATGTATCAATCTTCGCAAAACTCTCTTTGAAAACTGAAGAAGCCCTTCCCAAGTTGTCTGCAACATCCAGCAGACCTTTTGCAAAATTCTACAAATACACACACACACACATTAAATCAAAATAGACAAACAGAAGGGGAAAAAACATGTTTGAATTCAAAAAAGAGACCTGAATGGCAAACTTTTTAGAGTTCTCCGCTTCACGTTTAGTCCTTTCCATGACATTCTCATTCTCTGCCAAGGCACGGAGGAATTTATCTTTCATCATCTGGAACTCTTCCTGCTTCGACTGCAAAAGCTCATCCTTCTCAACAACAAGCTTCAACAAGTCATCCCTGGTCAGATCATCAGCATCCTCCTCCGAATCTGAATCAGAAAATGCAGTTCGTTTAGTACTACCCCTTCTCCTTTTAGCACGTGCAGACTCAGTTGCTTGAGATTCTGAATCAGAACCTGGCTCTTTGCTCTCTCTAGACACTGAATCTTCTGAAAGAGCACCTGAGTCCGCATCTCCGTTTATTTTCCCTTGGTCATTGCTCTGTGTAGCACCTTGTTCCTTTTCTGTTTGCTCGGGTGAAGCAGATGAAGCAAATCCAAATTTCCCAAAGGGAAAAGAATTGAAGGCTGATTGATGAAACCCGGACACCTAAGTCACACCAAACAAAAATAAGCCAGACGAAGATAAGATTTTATCAAGGTAATCCTATTCAAATTTCTATCTAAAGATGAACATGATTACAATTCAAAATTGAGTCATACATTGATTTCACCTGGCAGAATCCAAATGCTACGGGATCTAAAGATCTTGGTTGAAAATTCTGACTGATAAGCTACTTAACTAATTGTGCAGAAGCTTCACACTGATAAAGGCGGCAAACTAAACAGTAAACTCAAAAACTACGTCACCTAACAGGAACAGAAACAACCCAAAGCCTAGCGTTACTTGCAACATAGTATCGCCATCAAGGGGACAGCGTAAATTGATGCCTTAAAGGTAGATCATGTTATTTTGACCGGAAGCATAAGACACTAAACCGTCACTGCATAGAACACTCAAAGCGAGAACAGATTATATACGCAGGTCCTTTATATAATGCCAGACATGATTCGAGCCTCACATTTAAACCTCGAAACCAAAGGTCCATAACCTGAGACCATTACCACCAACCATATAAACCCACTACGCAAAGAGAATAGCACAGTTTGGAGCTCAATGAATGAACTTCAGAGCTAAACTAAAACAAAAGCAATTCACGATATCCAACCAGTAAATAAGAAGGGACTCTTAAACCCTAGCAAAACCCCGAAGCCAAAAATTCGATAATAAAGAAAGGAGGAAACTTTTCGCCTATGCTACTCACATGCTCGAGACCCTGATGAATAACAGGTTGGACTCCAGAAATCTGTTGCTGTTTGGTGGAGGCAGAGGAGATAAGAAGCAGGGAGCGTCGGCCGCCGCCGTTCCCAGCGACGCGAGACAAAACCCTAGACAACAACATAGTAACCAATTGACGAAAAGGTCGAACGGGATGATTGAAGGAAGCCGGAGATTAAACAGAGGAGGCGTGAAATTGAGGAGCAGGGAAGAAACCGTAGAATGGAGGTTTTGGGGGGATTTTGGAAGGGGAAAGTGTTTTTGCTTGGAGAGGAAGAAGGGGTTTGTCCGTGGAGATTGTAGAATGGTCCAGAACACTTGTTAGCTGTTACCTAGATGGCATTTCCGATCACCGAACTTTTGACCTTTTACCTTTTAGTCACCGAACCTTCTGTGTTGGCATACTTAGTCATTGAACTCGTACTTCCTTTTAACAACAAGGAACTAGAATGCCAAGTATACCTCCAAATTTAGGTACTTTGGAATTCCTTATCGGAGATGGTCTTAACGATTCGAAGAAAAATGCTCCTACCAAAAGTGTTTCATGTGGAAATTGGAAAACGCTTACACGAACAATATCCAACATACGCGAGAGCGTGCATTAGTTATTGTACAAAGCGATTTAAGATTTACATAATCAATAGCTCAACCTGGATTCTTCATAGGTTGGACATTCATACGTAATCATTAGTTTCTCAACCCGTAACCAACCGAACATGTATACGACAGAATGAAAAATCGAAATGCAACAAAGAAGCGCCAAGGATTAACCGATCAATATAGAAGTTTGATACATTTAACCACACCAATACAAGTACTAGCTAGCAAGCTAGGTGTGCCTAACTTCATGTAGTACTCCACATAAGCTTACATATATAAAGGTAATCATGAGATCTTAGATGTCCAACCTTAATGATGTTCGTGATTATGATTATTATTACGAGTGTCTCCATCATTAATCACCACTATTACCGTAACCATAACCACCATCCCCTCCAAGCTTACGGCTTAATTGGCCCGTGCCCTTACTTTTAGCGACGGTTTCGTCAGCGTAACTGCCTCCTAGGTTACCGCCGCCTTCCGGGGCCGCCGTCGCCTCATCAGTGCCAGCGGCAGCAAGGCCTTTAGCGGCGGCGGCGGCGGCGGCGGAAGGAATACTTGTACTGTCAGGAAGGCTTTGGACAGCAACGTCGGAACCAGCAAGCATTTTAGCCACGGCAATGTTTGTGGCAACGACCAAGAGAAATAGGACGAACAACTTGGTGGCGGATGCTCTTCCCATGACGACAAAGCTGGTCGTTAAATGTTGCTAGAGTGTTTGTTGATGGAAGTTGTACTTGTTGATATCAACGTGATCAATATTAAGTATATATATATAGAGTGATTGGGTCGAGCTCGTATGCGTGCGGATTTTTACGTGAATTATTGGGTAAATCAATTTTTCTTCTTGGATTTTTCGTCCAAACTCTGTATCACTTTCCTATTTCGTAATGGGTGATTTAGAAAGCGTTGTATATGCTTTAACTATTGGAGGAAGTTTTGACATCCCTCGTGTCATATATCATGTTGAAACAACAATGTAACTTTCTTGTACACTCGGCTTTTGCTAGCTATAACGTTTAGTGTTTGATTCTTACTGCCGGCCAATTAGTATGAATCAATGAGTGTTTGATGAAATTTCACATGCATGATTATCCATTAGGGTCATTGTTTAAAGTGACACCAAACATTTTCTAATACGTGCAACAGTGAGCGGAGCATACTGTTTTGTGAGAACGGATCCGGAATCGACAATGCAAAAAAGTAAAGAATACAAAGAGATTTCTTGATTTTCAGACAATGACAGATAATCTATGATCTATCTTTTCATTTTCATTGCTAGATTGTAGGGATGGCAACATAACTCCGATCCACAGGTACCCTACCCGATGATGGTTTGCGGGCCGGGTTTGAATTGAAACCCGCTTTACTGTTTCGCGAATTCGATTGGGTTCGACTTTAGCCATATCTAACCCACTCCCACCCGTACCCGCACCAAACCCACTAAACCCTTAACAAGTTAACCCTAATTCCTAAATTAATTATGTTGTTTCTCACTCTCTTGTTGTTAGGTTGCTTTTTTTATCAGAGATTTAACATAGATTCTAGGCAAAATACACTTTCATAGCCAAATCTATTCGCGTTGTGACAAATATAGCCAGTTTTTGAAAAATACACTCGTATAGCCATTCCGTCCAAAACTTTAACGGGAATTTGACGACGGCTGACTGGACTAATAGACGCTTGCAACGTGGACGTTTTTAATCTACGTGGCAGACAGGTGTAAATTTCATTATTAAACAAAAAAAAAAAACCCTAAATCTAACTTTACCAATTAATCTATTACCCCTTCTACCATTCACGCGATTTACCCCCTCTTCTCTCATTCTCCTCTCGTCAAACACAACTCCCCCATCTCTCCCGATCGACGAATCGATCGAAGCCCACACCCCGAGTGCCCGACCCACCTCTTCTCTCATTCTTCCCATATCGCTCTTCCATCTCCGGCGAAGACGGAGGAAACCATGCATCATCCGGCTGGTGAATAGAGGACGGCGGCGAACCCTAATCCTTCGTCTCCTTCGTCTCAGCCGGGCAATCTTCGCTGTCAGCCTTCCTCGCGAACCCTAATCCTTCATCTCAGCCGAGGCGAGCTCAACGAACCCAGAATCACGAGGCAAGGCGGCTTACCCAGAATCGCGAGCGGAGGTCGGCGAACCCTAAATTTGGTTTCGCGTTTGGCTGGTGAGTGAATACAAGAGTTTGGGGTTATAGTGTGGGAATCTTCTTGCTCGAAGGAGGTTGATTAAAGTGCATTTTTTGGTGTCTATTTATAGGTGTTGGCGAGGTGTAAAGCTTGGAGAGCGACAGTTCAAGTTCGTGAAGGGACCACAGAACTTCTCTTTGTGGCGAGATTGCCCCTGAATCAAACGGTAAGAAACTCAACGCATTGGATACAAAAGTCAATTTGTAGTGACGACAACTTGTGCTTCGAAATTGGTTATTTTGATTCGCAATTTTTTAGTGGATAGCCTGCTGTATGCGATTTGTTTATTGTAAAGCAGAAAGTTGGTTCCACTTAAGACTAATTAACTATTAATTATGTGATTAATATCGTATATAATGCCAAAATTGTTGGTTGTAATTATCTTAACAGATGGCAGACTCGTGGGATGAATTGGTGGGCGAAAATGACCCAAATCAGATTGGTCATGATGAGGATTCACTAAGCAGCCACAATGTTGGAGATGCTTCTGTTGCTCCTGATATATGTCATGTTTATGACTCCGACGACGCAATGACATCAGATGATGAATATCACGAGGCTAGAGCAAACCTACGTGCATATGGTGAAGGGAGGAAAAGGAAAGTGATTGCAAGAGTTGCTGCTGGTGGAGAAGAAGTAGACCAACTGTTGGATTTTGAAGAATCTGAGTCTGAAAATGGGGAGGAGGAAGGCCAAGATGATGGGGAGAATTCACACCACTCCACTCCCCTTCAGAACAATGAGACACCTGAAGAACCTCAGGTACCTGAACAATCTCAGCCACCTCGAGTTGATGTTAATAGGGAGGGATCTCAGCATTCAAACTACAGATTGTCAGAAGAATCAGATCATGTAAGGGGCAACTTATCAGATGAGGAGGAAGGTGATTTGTATGATGATGCACCACGGTATGATCCACTTTGCGACCATAAGACACTTGAGTTTGTATGTAGAATGAAATTCGATGGGGTAGAGCAGTTCAAAGATGGCGTTGTAAGACATTCTGTAGCACATGGTGCCTGTCTGAGATGGATTCGGAGCAACCCTACGAGGAGAGAGGTGATTTGTAAAGATGTGAATTGTCAATGGAGGTTGTATGCAAGCTGGTTCAGAAAGGATAAGTGCTTCATGATAAGGAAAGTGGGGCAACCACACTCATGTGCAAGGCGTCTCTCAGTTAACCAAGTAACAGCTAAGTGGATTGCCTCAGATATGTTAGAGAGATTCAGAATTAATCCAGAGTGGGCTCCGGAACAGATTATGGCCGAGGTTAAGTTAAAACACAATATGGAGGTGAAGAAGAGAACTTGCTACAGAGCTAAAGTAGAGGCTATCAAGATGTTAAGTGGGTCGTTGAGTGATGAGTATAAATTGATTAGGAGTTATGTAGCTGAGTTGAAGAAGAGGGATAGGGATGGTCGTTTCCAGCTTGAAGTTGACCCGCATCCAGATGAGGATAAGTGCTTATTCAAGCGCTTATATGTTGGTTTTTCATGTTTGAAGGATGGATTTCTTTTGGGCTGTCGTCCGATGTTTGGTCTTGATGGCTGCTTTCTTAAAGGGGAAGTAAAAGGGATGTTGCTCACAGCAGTGGGTAAAGATGGAAACAACCAGATGTTTCCACTTGCCTGGGCGGTTGTGGAAGGAGAAAATACCAACTCTTGGAGCTGGTTCATAGATATTTTAACCGAAGAACTCGGTTTAGTTGATGGTAGAGGCTGGACTGTTATCTCGGACCAGCAAAAGGTATAGTAAGATTGTTCTTTGATTGTTCTTTGATTGTTCTTTGATTGTTCTTTGATTATTTCTCATGTTTAATTTGCTAATCCTATTTCTCTCCACTAGGGTCTTGTTGAAGCGCTCCACTCAATACTACCTGAAGCGGAGCATCGAAAATGTGCTAGGCATGTGTATGCCAACTGGAAAGTCAAGAACAAGACCGACATGATTAGGAAACTGTTCTGGAAGGCAGTGTATGCATGCAACGAACCTGACTGGAAGAAGGCTACGCAAGAGATGGAGAGTATCCAAGGTAATGGTGATGGACCAACGCCATTTACTGACTTTATGGCTGCCGATCCCACCAAATTTTGTCGTGCTTTCTTGTCTGCAATTCCTAAATGTGATAGTGTCGAGAGTAATATATGTGAGACTTGGAATGGCAGTATTGTGAAGTTTAGAGGATTTCGTATTATAGAGATGCTTGAAGGGATTAGGGGGTATATGATGGAAAGAGTGGTTATCAAGTATAATATGCTGCGTGGGACTACTGATGAGTTGTGTCCGAGAATTAGGAAACGTTTAGAGAAGGAGAAGGAGGTTGCTAGGCTGTGTGTATCTAGGCAATCTCACAATATGAGATGTGAAGTGAAAATGGGGGCTGAAGGGTACATTGTAGACCTGACTTTGAAGGAGTGCAGCTGTGGTTATTGGCAGTTGAGTGGGCTGCCATGCTGTCATGCAATTTCTGCTATCAGCCACTTGAGG